GCTGGAGTGCAATGGCGCAATCTCGGCTCACTGCAACCTCTGCCTCCTGGGTTCAGGCAATTCTCCTGCCTCAGCCTCCTGAGTAGCTGGGATTATAGGCACGCGCCACCATGCCCAGCTAATTTTTTGTATTTTTGGGAGAGATGGGGTTTCGCCATGTTGACCGGGATGGTCTCGATCTCTTGACCTCGTGATCCACCCGCCTCGGCCTCCCAAAGTGCTGGGATTACAGGCATGAGCCACCGCGCCCAGCTCAAAACGTCATCTCTTAAAAAAACAAAAGAGTTAACCAGGCAGGGTGGTGCACGCCTGTGTTCCCAGTTACTAAGGCTGAGATGGGAGGATCACTTGAGAGTCTGGGAGACAGAGGTAGACCCTGTCTCCAAAAAAATCCAAAAGCAAAACCAACAAAACCAAAACTAACTATATGCTGCTAACTCTCAAAGTTTTATCTTCAGCCTTTCCTCTGAATTACATATCCATATAACCAACTGCCTGCTTAACATCTCCACCTGTAAGCCTAACAGGCTTCTTAAACTTAGTTTGTCCAAAACTGAGTTCCTGAAATAATTCCCAAACCATGTTCCCCTACACTTTACCCTATCTCAATTAATGACAACTTCATTCTTGCAGGTGCTCAAGCCAAACACTTTGGTGCATTTTTTAAATTCTTTTTCTCATACATACCACCCCATCCACTCTCATCACCCTAACTTCAAAATATATACTGAATTCAACCTGTTCTCACCGCTTTCAGTACCATCATCCCTTGCTTGTATTACTGTAATAGCCTCCTAAGGTGACTGGCTGCTTCTGCCCTTGTACCCCGATGTCTCTAACAGAGGAATCCTGTTCAAATGTAAGTCAGATCAATTATTATTATTACTATTTTGAGACAGAGTTTGGCTCTTGTGCCCAAGGTGGAGTGCAATGGAACGATCTTGGCTCACTGCAACCTCCATCTCCTGAGTTTAAGCAATTCTCCTGCCTCAGTCTCCTGAGTAGCTGAGATTACAGGCATGCACCACCATGCCCAGCTAATTTTTTTTATTTTTAGTAGAAACAGGGTTTCACCATGTTAACCAGGCTGGTCTTGACCTCAGGTGATCGCCTGCCTCGGCCTCCCAAAGTGCTGGGATTACAGGCGTGAGCCACCGTGCCTGGCCTAGTCAGATCAATTATATCACTCTTCCACTGAAAATGGCCTCTAATGGCTCCCAGTGTAAAAGCTGAGATCCTTACCATGACTGAAGAGAACCTACATGAAATGTTGCTATTACTTCCCCGACTTCATCTCCAATTACTCTCCACCCACAACTCCAGCCAAGCCTCCTTGGTGTTCCTAGAATGTACCAGGTATCTTGCCACTTTGCATCTTCCCATTTGCTGATCCTCCTCCCTATAGTACCTTTTTCCAAATAAATGCATACAGCTCCCTCACTTCCTTCAGGTCTTTATTCAAAAGCCACCTAATCTAAAATTTCCATCCTGCTGCTAACATTTCATATTACCCTTCCCTGTTTTCATTTTCCTTCTAACATTTACTGTTATCTAACATGTCATATATTTTACCTATTTATCTTGTTTACTGTCTTTCTCATCCACTAAAATATAAGCTCCTCAAGGGCAGGGATTTAATCTAATCTATTTGGTTCCCTATTATAAGCCCAGCATGTAAACAAGTGCCTGGCACAGAATAGACACTCCATCAATATCTACTTAATGAATGAATGCACCCTGAAGTACATATTAAAATTAAAATTTAGAGAGTTTAAAATTGGTGATATGGTTACTCCTTTTCTACGGGAACACATCTCTGAAATGATAAAGACAGTGGAAAAATAATTCAATCCATCAAAATTTGATAGCAATAGTTCTATGAATTTCATTTGCAAAAAGAAAACTAGCATTTATTGCCCATAAGCAAATTATTCACAGTAATTTAAACTTCAGAATTGTGCATGTCCTGAGCACAACTCCATGGCCATTGCCTTCCAGCACTATTTTATGTGTGCTCATAGATTACAAACTGAAACCAACATCAGCCTATCATTAGAAAGATAAAATGTACCCCAAATCCCAATGTATCATCTGTGGTTTATGTCTTTTCTAGCCCAAGACAGTGTCTTTGGAATAAGAAATACCTAGATATAAATCTTGGCTTCACCACTTTCCCAGCTTGGTAACTTCGGCTAAGTGACCTAAGCTGAGTGCAGTTTTCTCACATATAGACATATCCATTTCATGAGAGACTTGGGAAGACTCTAGCGTGCCTAACACAAACTATGTACCCGGTAAATATTGCTACCCTTTAACCCACAAATGTAACAGATAATTAGGGTAACTATATTGCTGTCAAAAACATTTTTTTTTCTAGGTCTGTTGCTCTACAAGGGCTACTCACTCATCAGCGTGGGATCCCCAGAACATTCAGAATGCAGTTATAAAATTCTAAGCAGCTTAGACACTCAGTACATGCAGTTTACTGACTGACTGACTTAGCTTAGGTTGTGAGCCACTCACCTAAATAGCCTTGAGTCTTTTTCTGTAGTGCAGTGACCGGGCAGTCTTTATGAGCTAACAGTAGCTGTTTCAACTGAGCCACCTCGTTGCGTAGTAATGTAACTTCATTCTGAGGAGGGAGGGAAGAAAAGAGTATCAAGAAAATTCATCCTCTACTCTTGCAACCTCAGTGGCTGTTCCCAAAGTGAGGACAGAATACTGCCTCAATTTTCTCCCCTGAACTGGGACAAGACTCCTGATCCAGCAAGGCTTCAGATAGCCCAGGGACAGTATAGTCACGAATTAAATGACAGGAGTTGCTTTCAGTGAAAAGTAGGGATTTATAATAGAAAAATTACTCCTGTTTAAGATAAACATGATTATACTAAAATTAATAATACACATGCTCTTTGGCTAAGAAAGCCTCCTTCTAGGAATCTATTTAACAGAACTGTTAAATAGGTGTATGCAATGTTCATTGCAACATTGTTGTTCTAGCAAAAAATCAGCCAATATCCATACCTTATAACATAACTACACTACAGAATATACTACTACACAGCTATTAAAAAGAATGAGGTAGGCCAGGTGCTGTGGCTCACACCTGTAATCCCAGCACTTTGGGAGCCCGAGGTGGGTGGATCACCAGGTCAAGAGATCGAGACCATCCTGGCCAACATGGTGAAACCCCATCTCTACTAAAATA